TTTTGGAAATTTTAAAGAGATTTATAAAATTTGAATATTTCTTAGAAGACACTCTTTTATTTCAAAACTTGATGGTTGTACGGTATGACTAAATTTACAGCTCACCAGGAATAAAATTTATAAACGAATTTTTAACTATCATCGTCTTTAAATGGAATAATTGAGGGTGGGAAGAAGTCTTATTCAGTTGAATTTGCCAGATAACTTCACAGTGACTAGACTTAAAATCAGCAGTTGGTTACTAAAATTTCATGGTTTACATACTATCAAAGGTTTCTTTTTTTTGAAATTTGATCGCAAATTTCTTGGAAATTCACCAACTTTAGTAGATAAGAGTTTGGTGATGAAAAGGAACAATTTGAGGGATGATTGATTTTTCAGACTCAACGAATACATTGACAATTAGTAAATTCAATGTGATCCTTGCTTACTATTAACAGGTCCGAAACCCCCTCTAATCTCTGGCTAAAGTACATTTTCTTATTGCTTTTGTTATTTAGAAATAAACACTACTTGTCTCTCTAATTTAGTTAAAAAGTAAGCTAACATTTTTACAAGAATGATGAAATGATCATTGATGGGTGCAAAATTAAGATTAACTTATAGCTATTGGTGGACTCAGTGATAGTTTCTCTAAAATAGCTCATTATTCCTTTAAGCAAAGCATTCTAGAAATTTATCTAGTTTCTCTCTTTTAAGAAGGAAAAGAGTTTCTTGAACTAAAATTTTGCTGAATTTTTATCCAATCCAAGCCCTAAAAACTAAAAATTTAGAGCTAATACTCAAATAAAGTTTGAGTTCTTTATTTCATGAATTCTGATTCTAAATTTTGCTCTTACTTAGTCTAAAATTCGGTCTTAATTTTCTCTAATTTTGCTCATTAATGAAGCCTTTTCAGTTAGAGATGTACGAAGAGTGCTCAATTTTATGTTTCTTAAAAGCTAAAAATCCAGAAAGATTATTTAAGCTTTAGATATTTGGAAATCTTTTACCTGTGTTGTGCTTAAATGGATTGACAAGCATATTTTGGCACAAAAGTTGAAGAGAATAAGAGGGAATTTTAAGAGGTGAATATGTTAAATATTATGATATTTGAAGTCTTCATCTCTCTTTTGAGAATCATATTTAAGATCAAAGAGGTTGATTAAAGTCTTTAACAAATAAAGGATTGAGAATCAATTATGTTTAGAGATCTTGTAAAATTTACAAAATTCTGAAAAATTACTTCTATGAATTTCCATATTCAACAAATTTCTCTACTCTTTTGTCAATTTAGTTGCTTATGAGAACAATTGGCTTTAACTTAGCATTCAAATGGAAGGATACACTGCTCCCATCGATTGGGCGAGTCAAGAGTAATTTAAAATACTTTCTCTAGCACCAAATCTCTTGTAAAGTAAGCTTACAGTCTTCTGCCATGTGTTTTCTCAAAAATATTGACATAAAATGATTTGAAAACTCGAAAAAGAGACTAAACTTGAGCATGCTTAAGAGACTGGGTTAAAATTTAATATGTTTGATGTCTTTACCTCATTAGAAATGGAAGTAATTTATCGTCAGGTACTTTAATGAGAGCATAAAAGTGAATTGTCCATTAGCTATACCTTCAGTAAGATATGTTTGTTTGCTTCGATAATACTTTGACTTCAAAATTAAAATTGATTAGTAGTATTATTTGGTAGTAAAAGAAGTATGTCTTGCAGATTATCGTTCTTACTCTTTCTTCCTTAGGGATAAAACTCCAAGAGCTTTGCAAGGATTTGAGTCCTTTTTAGAGTAAAAAGTTTGATTGGGAACTGTGAACAAGGACGAGCAAAATCATCAAGGCAAGGCTCTCGATGGATAGGAATTTTAGCTAAAATGGGCTTAAATATTAGTACCAAACAAATTAGTGGGACAATATGAGTATTGAGTCTTATATGTTTCATGATACTAAACACAGTGCTGATTATCACTGAGAAGCTGCTCAGGATCTCACTTAAAACATTAAAATTCATTAATTTTATTTTGGATAAATAATGAGGATTCATGTGAAAGAGAATTCTTAAAGAGGGTATATCTCCTCGTACTCAAAGCCAGGCTTCGACATCATAGCACAAAAAGAGTATGGGTGAGTTAAATATCTTAAAAATTATAAGTAAGATCAGTTGAAGAGTTTATATTCCTAATTTCACCTGCAATTAGCCTGGAGGAACTTTTACTAGGTACTTGGAATGGAAAATTTCCCTGAAAATTTCAACAAGTTATTTTCTAATGAGATTAAATTTGTCGGTGATTTTGGAAAACACGCCATACTTAAGAACTTTACTATATTTACCCTTATAGACTGCCCTGAAAGTATATGCATCATCAGAGATGTAAAGAAACTCACAAAGACCTAAATGTTTGAGAGAAAAGGGCTGTTGCTTCCTGGTTCGAAAGTTATGATAAAAGATTCGTTGATGACAGAGATACTATTAAAAGTGGCATGATTAGGTCAAAGATCTTCTTCTTCAGTAAAACATCAATGAATTTAGCCCAAGAGTTTTGGCAAAATTAAAGGTGTTTTAAGATTACTTCATACTTTATTAACTGGAATATATGGCTGCTCACCATAGTGGGGCTTTAAGATTTCATCGCTTATGCTAACATTCTTATTTCCTTTCAAATTTAATATCTTTCCTTGGTGAAATGTATTAGTATCAAAAAGAGTAAGTTTAGGATGATTGTTCAGATCTCTATCAAAAATAAAACAATAAATTTGGAATGGAGCATCATAAACTCTGATATATAAGGCTTTCAGATGTTGGCATTGCCAAGAAGCATAGCTTTGTATCTTTCACTTCTTCCAAGGTAGCTTCAGGAGAAGTCATTATGTATACTTGCTTTCTTCTTAAGCTGAGAGATACAGGAAGAAGTCTAAACTCTCTTACCTCTCTCTAACTATCTCATACGGAAAGAGCCTTCTGAGAGATCTTCCTCTAACCATCTAAACCTTGGAATATTGTGAATGCTGATCTACGAAAGCTTCATTTTAATAGTATCTCCATCACAAGGATGTTGTGGAGAAATGGATACGATTCTCAGATACCAACTCATTAGATGATTGTCAAATTAAGCACTATTGTAAGCTAATTGCTTACAGAAGCTTCTCTGGAACCCGAGACAAAGCCAGAGAGAAAGAGTTCTTTGCATTTGGAATGAAAATATTTATATCACTCTCTGAAGCTTAAAGAATATTAGCTTTCATCCTCATGTAATTTTCCCAAGCCTTAATTGAAGGAGGACTTGTATAACTGAAAGAGAATTCATGAAAGTGTTTAGTTAAAGTGACAAAATGTCGTGATTTCTTAATCCTTGCTCATCTTCTTCTTTCAGTTAAAAATTATGGGCCTTAAGAGCACAATTTTTGGTATTTTAAGAACTGTGCAATTTTTAGCTCAGCCTGCCACAATGTTTTTAGGCTTACTTTTATAACGAGAACACTTTTAGTTGCTAATTAAAATGTTAAAGAGTCTCTGAGCCAAGAGGAGCATGTAAAAGGCAAGAACTTTATTGTAAAATTATGACTCATCGTCTCATGATAAAACTTGTCTTGGTGAAAAGGATGAAATAGGTAAAAATATCTGTGTTTACAATAATTTTAGTTCAATTATCGGAAATTCTGCTGAAAGAAGTCTTGGCTCTGCATTACCATTGTTTGCTAAGCCTACCATTATTATATCCTTACACTTTTATGAGCAGTCGTAAAAGGTGTTTGACAAATTTTCTAACAGAAATATGATGAATTTCTGAGAATTACTGCACTCTTGTGCTGAATTGCTTGCCTTTACGAAAGCTAAAGACTATTAATTTTGACTGGAGAAATTTGGATTAAACACTCCTTTTTGTATGCTGAAGCATGCATTTATTCCAGATGTAGAAACATTTGTCAGCCTGATACTTTCTTGTTTAAAAGTATTTTTTGAATTTTAAGGTGGTTTATGATTCTGTGTTATTGCAAGAAATATCGACCATTGGGATTTTTAATAATAATGAAAGCATTGCTAAAATTATGATCTTCTGACTTGCTGCATGTTCAATTCTCTAGCTTCTTATCCAAATTTTTACTTAAATTCTAAATCGAGAGAGGTTATTAAAAGAAGGTTATATTATGTAGACTTAAATTATCAACCACTCATATAACTACTTCTCATATTTTGGTTAAAACTTTATGAGAAATAGTCTCAATTTAAGTCGAGTTTGCTAGATTATTTCTGAATTACAGAATTAATAATCTCAGCCTTGGCTGTTTCCAAAGAAGCAGTAGATGATGCAATTTAAGACTAAATGTAATAAACTACATTTGATAACCTTCTAATGTGGTCAACCTTTTAATGCAAACTTTGCAAACGATGATGAGAGCACTAATCCAGCTGTCAAAAGAAGCTAAATTCATAAGCATTACTAAACTTTTTCACAGAATTTTATCAATAATTTAAGCTAATCAAAATTTTTAGGAGAGTGATACTCTTCACAATGAAGTTCGCTCTATAACTGTTTCAGCAATTCGAAATCCTGACAATAGTATTTAGGATAGGTAGGAAAGAGCTTGATTGTGACAATTTTTTACCCTAGTAATAATTTCGTAGCTTCTCAAGTATGAAGCTTCTATTGGTATAAGATGGCTAAGAGTTATGGTAATCTGGTAAATAAAATACTGAGTCAGGTGAGGTAAGCTATGTCCATCCTTATTTTATTGATTTCTTTCGCTTTGGTAATCATTACGCTCAATTTTAGAGAATTCTTGTTATTATCTAACGTTAGAAATCTGGGATCTGTCTGATTTTCAGCTCAATAAAGAGTTTATCGATATATTCGGATTATGTGCCTAATTATTTATTGAAAATAGAGTTCGGAAGATCCTTATCGAGTAAACCCAGGCTATATAGATTCCTTCAGTCATCTTTCTTCCTCTAGCATTGATGTAGAGTCTCCTGTAGCCAATTAACAAAAATTAGGAATCTTTCATTTAAGAGCAATAACTTATCGATGAAATATATAAAGAAAGAAAAGGTAGAAGTTAATAATTATTTTTTAAGATGACAAAACAAGATTGTGAATGGAAAATTTCGGAATCTCATGTAAGAAAGCCGAAGAAGAGAGGAAGAAAGAAGATGGATGAAGGTAAGCAAATATCTATTTAAAATACTCTTTCAATTTAGAGCTCTTACTAATTATGAGCTATAGAAGAAAGAAAAATACGAAGACTACATCAAAACAGAGTTAGTGCTCTAAAGTGAAGACAAAAGAAGAAGAATCAATATGAGAAGCTTGTTATTGAGAAAAATGAGCTAATCGAGAAAGCCCAACAAATGGAATTAAGAATCAAGCAATTAACTTTGCAGTTTAACAATGAGCGTATCCAAAAAGAATCTTTATTGGAAAGAGTTACTTGTTATGAAAATCTCCAGAAAGGGGTTGTAGATACTCACTCTACTCATGACTCAAAGTTTACCAATGAAGAAGACCTCAATAAGCAATCCCTTTTGACTTCTTTATCTCTGACTCCATCATTCACTCAGAAATATTGCTGGAGTTCCATTAATCCAACAGGCCAATGAACTTTGAATGTCAATAATCAAAGTAATGTTGAAGGTAAGAAATTGAGTTTAAAACTCATATCTCCAGTTGTACTTATCTCTCTGCTATAGGAGCTCAAACGCTATCAAGCTGTACAAACTTATCCCCAATGAACCAGGCTCTTAACCCTGAAATAGCTGCAGCTAAGACTTTCTTCCCGCCATATACACGGATCCTGGATGCTCAACAATAACCTCAATTGCTGTGTTTGAAAGAAGACTTGTAAATAACTTCATAAATAAAAATTTTGAACACAATTCAATGGATTACTCGTATTTTTGGGAAGAAGCTTCTCCTTGCCTATATCGTAGGTTTAGCCAGAAAATGACTCGCTTTAGGCATCCATAGCGAAAATATAGAAATGACATCATTTTAAATAACGGATACAAATTTGGATATGGAGTCTCTGTTAGAAGAAGGAAAAGAGGTTTTTAGATGGAGTTAAAATGAATAAATCTCAGCTCCTCTTGAGGAACTCTATCGAATTTTACAACCTAGGCTTCGTGTTGGCTTTCAGAACTTGGATAAATTTTAATAGCTGTTAAGTCAGCAATATAGTGACCACAGATGTGAATATTTTATGAATAATGTGTTGAACTCTAGCTATAATATGCAGGCTTTGTAGAGACACAGGAGTCTTTAAAGACACTACACTAATTTTAGCTATTTTGTATTCCTAATTTTAGTTCAGGCCATCCTGCATGCTTAAAATATCCAAATACCTCTTAAGAGCGTGGATAAATATGAGGAAAGGTTTAGTAAAAACGTTGAAAAATTTATATGCAAAACTTAAAGTTAGAGGAGCAATAACTTGTCAATAATATAATCAGGAGACAAGAGCTTTGCTTTCTCATATCTAACCAAGTTTCTAAGTAGTACTCTCTCTTTATTCACGAAAAAAATCTTTTTAACAGGCTCAAAATTGAGCACGAAAATGTAAGGTTAATTTGGGATAAAATTTTATGAAAATTGGATACAAATCGTAGAAAAATATTTCAAAAAATCTAGGAAAATTAAGCTTCTTTGCTTCCTAATTTGAGCAATTAGATTCTTAATTGAAGCCTTAGCTTCTCAGAAAAATGTAATTTTAGCATTTGGAGTTGTCGAGTTTTAATATAATTTTTGACAATTTGGGAGCTTTCAAAAGCAACTAAAAATGATTTTAAAAATCTCTGATTTACCGAATAATAATTTCTAAGAGTTGTTATTTATGCTTTATTCCTAGCCATCTAGATCACTCCTGCTCCTAAAATATGGAGAACTGGGCTATGATCAGAGAGCTATGTTGATAATTAAAGCTCATATCTAATAATTAGCTTAAAGACATTGTTCTTTGAAGATCCAATTAAGTTCCTATGGAGTTTTTACTTTCATTTTCTTTCATAACTAGTACCAATTATGGTTCAAAAGAGCATCTAAAAGCATAAAAGTTACTATATTCCTTCTCCATGAATAAACTGACCGATCTCTCATAAAGATTTTAGAGTTCCCCGCTAAAAGATGAGGATTCTAATATTTCTTCATATTTCTGAATTCATTGAAGCAATAAATAATATAAATTTTCTTACATGGAGTGGTTCAATCAAGATGAACTAGTATGGGGTTTTGGGGTTTTGGGGTTTTGGGG